TCCCACTGCCACTGGATGATCTAATCCTTTCCACAGCTTTTGGGTCTATGCTAAAATGTAGAACTGTAAAGGTCTCTTCAGTTGGGAGCCTCAGTCACAAGTTTTCCACACTTTTTTGCTTTCTTGGAATGGCCCTGGTCTCCCTACAACAGCTTCAATGGGCCGCCCATACTTTGTGATCCTTCCAAAGGGCACCTGAATTTTATCCGTACCTTTAATGGTCCTGCAGCTACTTACTACCTTCCATAATTAGTCCCATCTTTATTTCAGATTTCTCATGTGCTGCTCCATTTGTCTACATTTCTTTGCTAAACGCCTTAAAACCCTGAGACAGTTCGATGTCTCTATTAGGTGCTCTCATAACACCCAAATGCTTACTCTTTAGCAATGGTTACAGTGATACAAAATTGCTATTTCTTCTCTTATACTGAGCTGTTAAAAAGGGATGGTCTTGGGGCACCGGGGTAGCTCAGTCGTAGCTCACTCGGTTAAGCGTCCGACTTCGGTTCAGGTCATGTTCTCACTGTCCAGAGTTTGAGCCCCACATCAGGCTCCACACGGACAACTTGGAGCCTGGAGCATGTTTCAGATTCTGTGTCTCCCCCTGTCTCTGCCCCTCCCCTGCTTGCCCGGTCTGTCTCTCCCTAAAATAAATAAACATTTAAAACAAGGCGGGGGGGGGGGGGCGGGGATGGTCTTGGTCACTTCTGAATTCCCTGTAGCTTGCATAGTCCCGGACAGTCTAAAATCGACTTGGAATGTGCGCTACAATGCCAAAAGAGTTCATTTTTTCAAACCCTTCTGTATCCAAATATTCACCTATAAAAACAAACATGGCTGGAGTGACAAATGGCCAAGTAGAATAAGAAATCCTGAATTTAAACACAAGATGAGTCACTACAACCCCTACATGTCCTGCTTGGCCTCCTCACTATGAAGGACACTGATCTAATCTACTGGCCACTTCAACACTCTCTCCACCTCCACTTTACTGTTCTTCCCATTTAGGGAGTTATTTAGGGAGTCAAGTTCTTTAGGGAGTCAGGTGCTGTGGCTCAGGTCTACGGTGGTACGGACACCAATGAACTCAACACTGCCCCAGCACTTCAAATCGCCATTACAAACATTTCTTCGCGATTTTGATCCAGACGGGTGTACACAGTAGCCAATGGTAGCAGTTCCCCAAAAACACTTCTTTAAGGGATCTGATCTGGTACAGGCAGAGGCAGAATGAACCAAGTCACCATGCCAGGCTGACAAATAGCAGAGACCAAACAACAGAATGAAGTGTGAAGTCCCAGGAGGGCTCTCCCAACTCACAAGGAGGAGGAGAATCTTCCTTCTCATTGTGGACTTCTAGTCACCGTGGGTCCACAGCCTCAAGCAACAGACACAATGCCATCTGACCAACAACGTGACCGCGGCCGTGGACGGCTAGTCTGACAGCTCTCCTATTGTTCAACATTTTCACTACTTTTGCATTATGTCCTCATAACGGGTCTAAGTCATTTCAGAAATCAAGTCATTTTACTTCAACAAGGTACTGTTTGATGATTCAAAGACCGATGAGATCAACTTACTCTTGATTCATCACCATCTCTGGCCATTTTAAAAGATGAGAAGAGCACGAAAACAACCCTGTCAAGGTACAGCCTCACAAGGTCTCACTTTAAAGGGGACGGCAGATCTGAGACAAATTTTTGTTCATGACGCTTTGCTATATACCTCGTAGAGAGCCACTCACATTTTGATCACATGCTTGTCCGTTGAAAAACTAACAAGAAAACGTAAAACATGGCTACATATCCATCTGGCTCAAGAAGAGCCCTGGTCAGACCACTGAATTTTCGGAAGCTGAGATGAAGAAAGTCCAGGGGCACCCTTCTTAGAAGTCCTACAGTTCATTCTACTCAAGTCAGAAGAACCCATTCTCTGTATTTCAGCAAATGGTAGGGAGAACTAGCTTACTGGCTTGGTTTCTAAAATCTTGATTGCTATGTTTATTATAATGGAATTCAGTTTATAGCCATTACAGTATTCTCTGCTTGAAACATTTTAATAGCACTGCAAGCACTAATAGAAATAGGAAAATCTCTTGCTATTTGTTGATGGAAAATAATAGAAAACGCAAACCTCCCAAATTCCATTTGTAGGCCATAGGAGCATGAGCACAACCGTATGGGAGGAGATAACCAGTCTCTCCCTTCATATATATTCTTTTTTATTTTCTTGTTATACCTTCCCAAAACAGACATTCAACAGTAGTTAGAATGGCCATCTCCCGACATTTAAAAAAAAACTGCACCCCCCAATGGGTGAACAAAGTAGAGTAGTAACCTAGAGTTCAGCTGAGTAAGCCACTGCGGAGCCTTAAGTGGTGAGGTCTTCCAATTTCAGAGTGATGTGTCTTCAACTTGTATCATCATTTTAGTGGAAAAACATAATTTAATTTTGGTGAAATGAGATTCATCTCCCGACAGGATTAGGAACAGCATTCACTGAATTTCACATTCTTCTTTTGTGAACTGTGAAGAAAATGAATGGTAGCTAGAAGATCAATGGGATTCCAGCTCCAGCTGCAGATGGAATGAAGATATACCAGGACAGAAACACCTATATTTTGATTTACAAAGCTAACAGCAGTTTGAAATCTGCAACTTAATTACAGACCAACTACACCACAACCTTTTCAAATGGCAAAAATACAAAAAAGTTAAGTGTTACAAAAATATTTCAGAAAAAGTGCATAGTCTAAGTGCATAGTAAATAAAAGCACTGAAAAATATCTTGCTAGAGGGAGTTCAGCTCGGAAAAGTTATTACCAAAGCTAAACATTTTTATTTTACACAAACTATACTCAAAAATAGCTTTATGAGACTGATTTCTGGCTAAAAGTATCAAAGGGTTTATTAGTCAAGAAACAAATACCTTAACTCACATGGGTGGATAGAAAAGAAACAAGTAAGCTGCCTACCCCAAAAGTTCGCACTCATTAAGATTTCTGCAGTGGGAGGGTGCTAATATATTCTATAGTAGCAGAATGTGGTGATCATGGAATTAATTATTGCTAAAGTAGATTTAAAAAAGAAAGAGAAAAAAAATAAAACAAATTAAACCTGACACAATCTGAACAAACCTGTCAATTTACAGTTTCAAGGTTATTTTACAAAATACCTACATTTACAACAGGCTCCTGGCAGCATTTTCAGACAAAGGTTCTTTTAATTAATCCTGACATGCTATAAATGAATAAATTACGCTATTTAAAGAATTACTGTCAATAAATTTTTCTTTCTACTGGGTCAGAAAGAGGAAAGAGAAGAGCGCATTTAAGATTAAGAGGAAGCGCACAGAGAACTTAGGGGAAAGAATGGGGGCTTAGGGAGGGTCAGGAATCATAGGAACCTCACCTGGCCACCTGGCCACCTGGCGGGATGCTCTCCAAAGTTAAGAATCAATCTGTTCAAAGCCAAATTAACCAGGAATTTAAAGAAAAGCTACAAAATGGTAGTTAAACCCTTTAACGCTTTCATTCTTATGCACAATCAGTCCAGCGGTTAGTGCGAGGCCGCAGGAGTTAGAACACGGAGTCCCGGCTACTGCGGCACTAGGTACTGTGCCTGTAAGTCATTATAAAAGGAAAAATAAAGAATGCCTTTCCCCTTCAGACCAAAAAAAAAAAAAAATTTTTTTTTTTTAAATAAAAAAATCTGAGGAAAAGTTGTAACACTAAATCTAAAATGATTCGCAAAGGAACTGTATGTAACAAATGGCTTGAAGTAGTCTATTAAAAAATTGGGGAGATTTTGATTTCATAGTGAGTCAGCAAGGCATTTTTGTTGTTTAAAAAAAATCTCATTTCCTTACAGAAACAGTTTTTAGTTTTTAATGAACTTGTAAACAAAAAAGCTCCCATTTCAAAATAAAAACAAAATCCCAGATCATATAGATGTTTACAGTGATTACATTTATCTAAGCAACATACATACATGTTCAGTTGTAAGATGTTAACTAAATTTCTGTGACAAATATGCTTTTTTTTTTTTTAATACCAAGAACATTATAGAGTTAATGCAGAGTCCTAAGGATAATCTAGTAGTCACTAAGTTTTTCTTAAGTCTTCACTTTAGATGCTGTTATTTCTAGCACAGGTAAGCAGGCAGTCTTCCGAATGCTCAAACACTGGAATCTTTGGTTGCTACCGTATCAAGCTGGCTTGCAAACAAGAAGCCAACCATTTTAAGAATGTTTTAAGTGAACAACTTGCAAACCCCAGGGGTGGATAAACCCTAAGAACGCACAATTGTGAGCATTTACAACCATCACAACTGTGGCTGAAGACTGTTCATGCCGTTCTTCTGAAATGAGATCTCAAAGCAGTATAGTTCAAAATAAAAGATTTTAACAAAAATTGGCATATGCACAATTTCTCCACCAATTTGTGTGTGTCAACCATTTAGAGTTAACTTTTCCACTTGAAAAAATGCAATAGAAAACTGGACACCATGTTTCACTATCTCAGTTAATATTCACAATTACAGCGGCTACAACTCAGGACACGGCATCACCAATGCTGCCCAGAGCCAGTTTATACTGAAATTAAGTTCTTTACACCAAGTAAATGGTTGTTCACAACCACTGTCTAGTGTACATATGAACTAAAATTCCTAGATTTGGGGAGAAACAAATGCTGCTCCGATCATCTGCTCTGCTTCTTCTGTTCCTTGATTCATGCTTAGAAACCTGTTTTAAAAAAAAAAAATCGAAACAAAAAAAGAATGTTACAATTCCAAGTTACAAAAGATTTTTAAAAACCACACCCAAAACTGGGAAATTGGGTGGAACTGGGCCAATAATTACTTTATTAGAATGGTGACTCAGAATATTTTCATCTATTTGAAAATCACAGCTCATCTTAAAACTACATACAAAAACTTTTCTGTTCTAGGTGCCTTTACGTAGGAGCGGTACACAGTGAATCAAAGCCTTCCCAGTCAGCATACACTTTTCAGGCCCGAGAATTACTGGGAATTCCAATGAGCCTGTTTTATTTATTTCTAGACTTCTAGTACCTAGAGCACAGAATGTGTTCAAATATTTATCAAACAAATGAAAAGATGGTTTTGCCTTAAAAATTACAAACTATAGTCTTAATCATACTATATGCAGGAACTTTTCTGCACATTATTTCTGATCCAAATAAGGAGCAATAAGCTTTAATAATAAATGTATTCAAGACATAATTGAGTTATTCCATAGAACACAAACCTGGTCAGTATGATTTTTATCACAGAAACCTTAAACCTTTAAAAACGTTGTACTTCCACCAATAATACATTTAAAAAGTTTTGCCCTGGATTTGAAAACCTAAACAAGTGAGGCTTTTTTGTTTTGGCTTTATTTACTTTGCAAGCCTTCCCACCCTGTAAACACTACCTCCCTCTGCCACAATTAGACTCTTAAGACTTCCACACATAGGCAGGTTTGAATAGAAACCAGCCTCGGGTAGTAACAGCTGCATGTTCCATCTGTGGCAAAAGACCACTAGAGCAAATGCTTATCTCTATTACCTACAAGCTTTATCTGTGGCTCAAGGCAGAAAGGAAGTATGCCCATTCCTCAGCCAAAACACGAAAACCCCATCAGTACCACCTCTTCTCACCAAAAGCCTTCCCTTGAGGTGACCATGCCCCTTGGTTCACCCCCTTCCAAACCCCTATAGCTGGCCTCATTATAGCTCTTTCTAGCCCACTCTGATCTCTCACTTCTAAATTCAGCATGGAAACCATGTTTTTATTCATCATAAACTTCTCCCTTCTTTGTGCTTCTCAAACATTCGCTGGACCATTTCCAATGGGCTCTGTGGAACAAATAATACGCTTCTAAAATCTATGCCTCCCCACACACCCCTCCCCCGCCCCCCGGAAAGATAACACCAAACATTTATATATCATTTTTGGGGAAATATGGGCTCACTTGTTAATTAGGAATTTGTTCATTTGAGGGCTGAAAGTCATCTTAATTCGTTTAAAAACATATTGTGCTAACACTCTGAGGACAGTGCTGTACACATTCTTTCGCTCTCTACGCCGACTATCAGAGTAGACATAAAATAAACCTCTGTTAAAAAAAATAAATAAAATAAACCTCTGTTGCCTGCCCAAGTACTAAATTCATAAAGTAAATGCCAAAATGAAAAATTTTATGAAGATTTCTGAAAATGAACTTCATCACAAGGAATATTCTATTTGGTATATATTACTAAAGAGAATTAGCAAAGTAAGCACAAAAAGAAAAGGCTGTCAGATCAAACCTGAATTAAAACCCTTAAAATTAAGACCATATTCTGTAACGTAATTCCAATGTTAAAATACAGAATACTGTGAAGCAAATTAAAACTATGAATTAGCTAATTAGAGGTGACCCTTACCCTGATGTGCATTTGATTTCAAGTCCTGCAATTATTCTTAAATATGATCAAGAAAAATGTTTACACAGCTTGAAACTGTTTACCACACCTTGCTATGTGATTACGTTATACTGAATAATCTAATTACTACGTTGAATATCCAAACAGCTTTAAAATAGAAACCGCTATCACTAACTAAAAACAAAACGTAAGTTACAATGTCAAAATATTAGAACACTCTTGTGTCTTTAATAGGGATAAAAATTAGATCTAGGTAAGAATTGTATCTGTTCATCTGATATTTGAGAAATTACTGGGTCAGTTAATGATTACAATTGCTTAGGAATCAGACAGAGGCTAGCCTAAAAATATTCCTGGAGGAATAGAGCAGTCAGATCCAGATGTAACTCTTCAGATTGGCCAATGGTAGGATACTCCACCCAGGGATCAATGTTTCTCCAGAGAATTGTCCTAAGATGTTACTCAAGTTTATGTAGGAAAAATCTCAATGGGAGCATTCAGCAAGTATTCAACATTCAATCTTCAAGTACATTCCTTTTTCCAGTGTGCATTGATTCCTTGGTTTTTATCTTGTAATTTAGGTGGTGTCTCCTGGCTTCTAAAAGTCCAAACACCCATCTTCACTGCAACACCAGTTAAAATAAGGAAGGGATCCCTTTGCTCCTAAAAACAAAAAAAACAAAAAAACAAAACAAAAAAAAAGGGAGCAAAAAGCAAAGTCAAAATTGAGTTGGACCATCACTGTAACTACTGAGTTAATAGCTACATTTAAGTTTCTTTTCAAATCTGCAAAAGGAAAAAAATGCTTATGTAACTAGTGAGATTCTACCCCTTAATCCAAAATCTGAAAAGTATACATTGGCTCTTATTTATGAATGCATTTCTGATGTCCCTGATTTTTTTTTTTTTTTTAATAGAACCACAAATTAGTTCAAAGGGATATTTATATAATAGTAAGGCTTGAAGTTTGTGATGGGCTTTTTAAATTTCAGTATCCTTTCCTAGTGGAAGACATAACTTTTTAAAAGTAGTCTGAATGCAGTATTCACATTCATGATGTAATGCCATTTATTATTAGTTAACATGTCTGCGTTTTTTCTTTTTCGTTTTTTTTTTTTTTTTTTGGCTGCACAGAAATCATAATCAAACTTGGAGAATTTTGAATCAGATTGGCACTATAAAAGCTCAAGAATAAAAACACAAACAGCTACAATAACTTTTCCTATGCTAAACTAAAAAAAAATAAAAGTTGGGAAAGAGATTTTTTATCACTACAAATAAGGTAAATGACGACTCAGTACACACATTACCCCTTCAACTGCCTTTAAAAAAAAAAAAAAAAAACAGAAATGTTTTTTTTTTTTTTTTTTTTGTCTTCCCTATTACAGAATTCTGAGGTTGTTGAACTTGAAATACCTGTTACAATTGATTCCTTCCCCAACTGGTAGATGGTCTGCATTATACACCACTGAGTCACAGCAACACTGTACTCCTCTAGGTCTTCTGACTGTTGTGGTATCGTCCAGATTTTCTGACAAGTTCATGTTTGGTAAGTCCAGCCAGCCTTGGAGATGTGAGATTCATTCAGATGACCACAAATCAATTCTTGCACACTCGTCTTCATTTCCTGTTGGGTTACTGAGCTCTTTTCTCTCCAGTGGTAGTGTCCACAATGAAAAAAGCTGACAAAAATTTCAGCAAGCAGATGCAGCTCCCTGGCACTTCTTTAGATTGAGTGTATTCAGAGAAGATCAGTCTCCAGATTATTTCAAGGTCTTCCCCTGTGATTTGGGTTACGTTGCTGAGTGACCAGCCACGTTCCTAGCAGCAATTGGTGAAGTCAGAAAAAGTTAAGCTAGACATAAATGGTAGGTGAATTCCAGTAAACACTGGAAGGTAATTCAAGGAAGACCATGGACATGGTAGGAGAATGTGATAGAAAAAAATTTCTCTTTTTTGACTGTCAACAATCTGACATCCACGTATGTGATTATGATAAAACTATGCTTAATATCAACGGCTTGGAGTAGTGAACAGAGGGACTGAGATGATAACAGAATTATGTAAGGATCCAACTTTGGCTTCACTACCTTCTGAAATTCTCCCCATCTCTGACCTCAACTAAAGAAATGGTGAACCCAACTGGATTCTGAATGTCCTAAAAAGATTTCCTTTTCCCTTTAGTACTTCCTAAATGTCTTAAAAACTACTTTCCTGATAACCACATACAGTTGAATAAAAGGAAGCGAAATGAATTTGGAAGTGTCTCAGATGTGAATCTTTTATTTTTCTCTTTAACATGTATAAAAACTAATTATAATCTTGTGGCATAAGAGCACCGAAAATTAGTACATATCATAGTGGGCTTTACAAGAAACAAGAAACACCTTATTTCTTAGTCTTTTGATGGGCCTTGGAATGGAGTACTTCAAAAGATCTTTTCTTTAGAAAAGTAATTAGGATAGAAGTCTATTACACATAATAAACCCATCTTAGCTGAGTAAGTCAGACTTTAAAAGACTTTTTGGACATTCACAGTGAACTGCTGAAACAACTTATTACACACACACCTTTCCATGGAAGAAACGTCCCATATACACAATTTTCAAAAACTAAAACTAGTAACGTAAAATATATTAATATGTCCACCAGTTCCGGGGATTTTTCCAGGAATAGATATCCCTGCAGTATACAGTTTCATGTGCTGAAGATACATTTAAGAAACCAAATTCTCTGCTTTGGAAAACCTCAGCATATAATTCCGTGAACAAAAACTGATAGGATGTATTAGGTAAGTGCCTTCTAAAGTTTTAACCAGAAAAATGTATTATATGATGTTACCGTCACTGAAAGGATTTCTTGGAATTAGTGAAGAGTTGAGCTGCAGGGGAGCTCTTCCTTGAACAAAAAAATGACTGTAGTGGACCCGAAGAGAATAACATGCTTTTAAACACCCTAATTACATAGAGATTGAAATAAGGAGTAAGTCACCTAAAGGGACTGTCTTCAAAGTCCAGACTTCATAGGAGATTTCTCAATAGATGGTCTGGATACATACGGCTGGGGTTAGGGAAGTAGGCTCCCCAAACTTATTTCATGCCACCTTCAAACCTGCCGTACACATTCATGGCTTTATACTGAGGGGATTTCACATGAGATCTGTATGGGGCACTAAGTTTCTAGATCCAAGACAAAACAAACGTTTCGAGAAGCCAAAGATCAAACACAATTTTGTTGTTTGTATTCCAGGGCCTGGCACATTTTAGTAGCAAGCAGTATTTTGCTTGGAATCAAAATATACCACCTGAAAATGTCTCTCTGAAAGCAGTCAATGGTAAATGATGCATTTTATGAAAAATCCAATTTTTCAATATTTTACAAGTTGATGTTTATGTAGTAATTTATATAAACCCTGTGTCTGCCGTGAAGATTTCGTAAGATTTTTTATTTTTTTTAGGTGAACTCTACCCCCAAAGTGGGGCTAAAACTCAGGCCCTGAGATCAAGAGCCATATGCTCTACTGAGCCAGCCAAGTGCCCCGAAAACTGTGTAAGATATATAAAGTTGCTTTTATGAAAAATAGTTACAATACAAAATTAAGGATTAAACTTAAGTTTAATTACAATTTTTTTTCCAAGGAAACATACTAACTCACTGGATCCAACTTCTCATCTTTAAGACCTAGATGAGGCAGGACAAAAATTCTGCTTGTTTATTGAGAAAGAGACACACAGTAAACTAACAATGGAACTAACTCAAAATAAGGGAATTCTTTCTGAAGGCTGCTGAATGCCTGAAGTGAAATGTTCTAGGTCAGATGAGATTTCAATCTAATTTTAGTTCTAGAAACTGCAACTCGTGATGATCCTATTATCCCAGCTAGCTTTAGGCAAAAATTGGTTTCATTTTATGAAAAAAAGCAAATACCTTAATAGATGTTAGGCATAACAAGTCCTAAGTTTAGAGACGTTACACTGGTAGGACCGTTTCACAGTGATACCAGCTAGCTACCTAGCGCATTAAGAGTTTGGCACTCTGATTAGCTATATCATGATTAAAACACTCAAAAGGGACAATTAGGTCCCAACTGAGATGCAGAGGCAAGCATCAGTGTTTGTTATCCTGAGCGGAAATTTCATCATCTAAGAACCCCCGTTACGCTAAGCTTTCAGCTGTGAATCCTCCCCCAATACAGAAATGTTGAAGAAAAGAATCTCAACTTCATTCCTAACAGATGAGCTGCTGGGATGAGGATGACACCAGTGAATTCTCCTTCTTGAAAAGTAACCTCAGATCGGAATCTGTTTTTAAATTACCAAATTGTTCAGATACAATACTAAAAATATAGCCCAAAGAAGGCTAGGTTCAGACTAGAGCAGTCATTCAGAAATGAAATAATTAGAAACCACAAAAACCAAACCTTACCTGCCCACCCCTTCCAGAAAGTAGGCAGGTATCAGGAGGTAAGCCCCAGAAAGGGAACAACGGGGGTAAAGAAAAGCAAACAAAAACCATGAAACTCGGGAGTTGAACTGTATGGCAACAGTGACAAGAATGTGCCCCAACAGTTCTACTCCTTAGTAGCACCAAGAGTGCCAGAGACAGAAAGGAAAGAGACTAGCAGTTCAGTGGCATTTGCCCCAATTTTTTCCAATTTGCAAGGCCTAACTGCAGAGTTCAATTCCACAATGAATTCCCAGACCCTGAGTATTTGCAAGGTTCCATAAAAGAAAGCCCAAAACAAAACAAGCATTTTAAAATTAATAACCTAGGTAGTTAAATAGCAACCAAAAGAGAGATCTGGTTCTTGAGTAGGAAAGATGTGTCGAGCTTTTCAGTTATTTGAGCATTTAAGAACGTAAATGAGATGCTCTGCAACCGAGAAGATAGACACTTTGGGGGCAATGCCAGACGCACCACCTCTGGAAATCGGACCATGTTCACCATTTTTCATTTTAAATGCTACAGCATTAACATGCAGAAAAATTCTTAACACTGTTAGTCTGAAAGTCAAAATACCATGGCTAACCAGATTCATTATTAAAAATCAACAAGTGTTAGGTCTAGGATTTTGGATTGATTGAGTATACCATATTCCCAACACCAAATGTTTATTTTGGAAAGGGTTAATGAATGAGTAAAAAAGATGCAGTTGTTAAAAATGACCCAAAATCCCAAGAGAAATGATATAATATATACACACATATATGTATATACAAATACATATACATATATATATGAACAAGGACATTTGGGTTTAAAGTTAGTAGTCAAATTTTCCAAGGACGTCTCTTTGTAAAAACACAGAGCCAAATTTTTACTTCTTTCAAAACCACTTCCTCGATCTAACACTGTTAGAAATGAAGGAATTACCCAATTTTGTGTTCAATTTGTTCCCTGTCACGTCACTTGGTTCTTGGCTACTAACCTTTCATGTTACTCTTGGTTTTGTCAGTTTGCTTGCCTGTGGGGGTTTGGGCCTGCTGACCCTGCCCACTTGAAGAGGCTGCCTGCTGTGCTGCTTTCTGCTTTAACATTGTCCAATCAAATGTGTAGTCATACTGGTGGTTCAGAGTCCTGGAAAACAGAAAATGATGTGTTAATCCTTTAATAATAGAGTCTGGCTAAACACTCTACTGAACCTGCAAAACAGGGAGGGCACTTTTTAGAAAAATGGTAGTATTTTCTCTAATTATGGTAGCTCCTAAAAGAATTCTTTCCATATACATGACTTTTTAACTCTTCAGTTTCACTTTTTACAAGTCACAACTGAAGGAAAATGATGTCACCACACTTCAGTCTGATGTATTCAATAAGAATAAATCTTCTCCTTCTTCAAAAAGAAGCTGACTTTTAAACTTTCTTGAAAGAGGCAGGGGAGTGGTAATGAACAGCACTCAAGATGTCAATTATCTAGGGAAACATCCAAATAGGAAGCACCTTCTAAGAACAAATCAGAGTAGGTATGAGAATGTAAGCTTGGTGGGTGGGTGGATGGGTGGGGGTGGGTGTGTGTGTGTGTGTGTGTGTGTGTGTGTGTGTGTGTAGATGTGTATGCTGGTGGCCTGGAAAGTAGACTTTCCTGGACTTTCTTCTCTTCCAACTAAGATTTCCAGCCACATGCACTCTATCTCCCTCCCCCATCCGCTCAAGACCATTTCTGGGTTGCACCAGGGAACCCTAGAGTATGAGGCCTGCTCCCACACCATCATACACCCCGTAACTATCTCGTATGTAAATTGCTGTTAATTTTGATATTAAATAGGGTTCCATAGCAAAGTTAGTGTTCCAAGGACCACCAACAGTCACTTGAATTGCAACATGAGTTGCCATTATCATGGAAAGGTTAGATTCTTTGAGTTTGAGTAACTGTTTCTCCATCCCAAGCTAAAATAATTTCAAGCACGTTTGCATCACAATGGAAACATGCCAAACGAACTCAAATTTCTTAATATTTTATTCATATTGGTTAGAGTCACTTTATTTCGCTACTTGTCAGAACAGATGTCTTGGGTGGATTTGACTAATTTCCTTCCCTGGAGTCTCTAGTCTTAAAAACACCTTAAAAACTGACCTGAAAAGAATGCGGAATAGCTGCCTCAGATACATGTAATCCGGGGCTTCCTCAAAGCGCAGCCCACGACAATAGTTTAAGTACATGGCAAATTCTGCAGGAAACCCCTACAAGTTCAAGAGTTAAAACACAAAGTAAAAAAACAAAACAACTTATTTAAGACAGAAAAATAAATGCATTTAAAAATGCAAGTAAAACTTGTTTTTGAGGACAGTGTTTTACTACTACTTTGCCATAAGATCTGAGAACGCAACTAATATGACTTGGTATCCTCATAAATTTAATAAAATTTCATTGTTCTGACCACTTCATCATGTACAGAGAAAATATGGTTCCTTTCCCTACAGTATTATGTCCTTAAATAACTTGGAGAACCCACTTGTTAATTTATTACTTTATCAACGTCTAACAACTCAATGGAAAACAATGAACAAATGACAAAATCGAGGCCGGTAATGTTATTTGCCACAAAGGCACAGTGAACAGGCACTTTCTCTCAGACTCTGAAATTACTTTCTTTTTTGTAGTAGAATATACTTACATAAACAGAAAAGTAAAATCACCAAGAGTGCAATCATACAAAGCAACCACTATTGTGATACGGATCAATCCAATGCTTTGTCCTACGAAGACTGGGATTGCCTTTTCTTTTTTCCACAACTGTTATTTTATTTACATAATTTACATATTACTGTTTTGCCACCAACATTATATTCCAAGCATCTTTCTGTGTCATTTTCCAACCTCTTCATAAGCTTCTGAATGGCTGTACAACATCCAAACGAGTGAATACATCATACTTAACTAGTTCCTTGTAACTGGCCATTTAGGCAATTAAAATCTTTCTCTTTTCTAAACAATACTAGTAAGAACACCTGTGGGCATAAACTTTTTCCATTTTCAGTTTCTTAGGAAAGATTCTCAAAAATGTATATAAACATCTCTAAGCCTGTATTTTGTTGTTGTTGTTGTTTACTGATTTTTGAGAGGGGGGGGGGGAGGGAGATGCAATCAGAAACAGCTCCAGGCTGTGAGCTATCTGCACAGAGCCCAATGTGGGTCTTGAAGCCACGAACCATGAGATTGTGACCTGGGCTGTAGTCTGATGCTTAACCGACAGAGCCACCCAGGCGTCCCTGAGCCTATAGATATTAATCACCAAAAAGATTTTGCCATCACCAATGTAGAAATGCAAAATATTAAAACAAAAATCCCTGCATCCTTCCCCTCAAATATATGTGAAGAGCTTTACATTAAAGGAGACAGTCTCTTCCCACAACCTTCCAATTTTGAGAAATTTCTCGTATCCAGAAAACTAAGGTAGGATAAAATGGATATACTTGTAACATTCATCTTTATTGACTGCATTTATGTAAACAGCTTTCATTCTTATATTATTTCACTGTTCGAGAATGGACAGCTGAAACTAATCAGTATATTATACATTTTATTTAAATTCTTAACAAGACATTAAACAGCACATACCAGATGAACCTGCATTTATGTATTCCAAATAGAGCTAAACAACCAGAAGTAAAAGTCAAATAGTATACTTCATGCATTGCTGACAGGCAAAACCTTCACAAAAGAAAACTACCAATTCTGTAACTAATACAGATATGAAGTAGTTACCACTGTAACGAGACTGAAAACAATCTCACTACTTTTTAATAATACTAATAGTCTGTGTTCACTGCACCCTGACAATTATATGTGGCTAATCCAGAAAGTGAGACCTAGTTCACAATTTCTAGATCAAAATTATACGTAACCCAGAAGCAGATGATGTGCTAACACTTCCTTTCTCTTCCTGAAAAATGGCTGACTTTCCCAGTAAGCCAAATGAATCATTCTGTTGCATAGAAATAGTAGCGTACAGAAAATATGTTTTGCTTCCTGAAGTATACAGATTTTAAAGTTGGGAGGGGGGAGGGGAGAGTGCACCTGGGTGACTCAGTAGATTAAGCATCCATCTGACTCTTGATCTCGGCTTAGGTCATGATCTCATGGTTCGTGAGATCGAGCCCTGCATCAGGCTCTGCCCTGACAGCACGGAGCCTGCTTGGGATTCTTTGTCTCCCTCTCAAAAACAAACTTAAAACAAAAAAAAGTTATCTGGGGGCACCATTAAGACAAGAACATTTTATTCATGGACCTACAATGTATTTATTAATTTAAAACAAATCCCGAATCTCAGAAAAGAACATAGTCTCTTACCCACCCCAATCTCTCCTTTAACTGTAGATCTGGAGAAGGAAAAAGGAAATTTGCGGATAGGGAGACATAAAAACACCACTTTCCCCCTTCCACAAAGTACTATTTCAACTCCATGTTGACTTCCCAACACCCAACTATATAATTATATACGGTCTTCTAATTATGTCGGTTATGCCACTGTTGTCTCAAAGATGACCAGGTGGTTTTCTATGTAAGAGACCAAGGTTATCCAACATGAAACCGACAGCTCTCCATTCTCAACTCCTAGGCTTCTCTACAAAGCTTGGGATTTAAGAGAAATGAGCCTGATTCCAACTGTCGCCTATATTGTGCACCATTGGCTATTTTTGGAATACTGTGATATGCCTTTGTCTCCCTACTCCTTGACATGCCTGCCAACTGCCGATATCCATTATTTTCTGGCACCAGTTTAGGGATGAGAATATTTATTTTCTCATGAACTAGTGAGATTCCACTAGACAACTTTACATGCCCTTTTTCCCCCCTCTAGTTTTTAACAGATTACAGAACCCAAACAAATGAGAAACATAAAATACTTATTTGAAATGATTCCTAAAGGGATGCCTGGATGGCTTAGCTAGTTAAGCTTGGGTATCAGCTTGGGTTGTGATCTTGAGGTTGCGGGATGGAGTCCCGCATAGGGCTCTGTACTTCGTGTGGAGCTTGCATGGGATTCTCCCTCTTCCAATCTCTCAAAATAAGTAGACATTTTTAAAAAATAAAATGGCTCATATATTCAAGCTACTCTTAAAGATACTTAGAATCATCAAAAAGTAAATTAAAAATGGTAGTAGCTAGCTACCTCATAGGATGTTTAAGTTCCAGGACAGGCAAATAAAATGCTCCCTCTTCTTGGATTATTTATTATTTAAAAAAAAAAAAAAAAAGGCCTCAAGCACACTTGCCTTACATAAAACTTCAACAGGAGTGGACATCTTCTTTTCACTTATCTTTTCATATTTTTGCTTTTTTGTCGCAGCCTGTGGAAAAAGGAATCAAACCACATAGACATAGTCAATACTATCAAGAAGAACCATGTTAATTTAACCCACTAGACATAAATGTCAACATGAGATTCAAGAGAAATGATACCTTAGAATTAAAACCAAATCAAAGTAAATAAAACACACCCAACCCCCACCCAAACTGATAGCTCTTTACCGGTGTTTCTACCTCAAGAACATTTTTAGCTATTAGGAAAGGGTAAGTCTAACAGGAACATGATTTAAGTAAAAATGGGTGAAGTCAAATCTGAAATGTGTTTTCATAATCAATACTCAACACAAGGGCAAAAGTAAAGGCAGCTCAATACCAACAAAAGTGCTCATCATTTAGTAACATTAGTAAGTTACGTTACATCAAAATACTTTTCCAGTGTAAAAATTACTCATTTTTGATAGGGCTATCCACACAAGCACTGAGCAATTTATCTAATTCACAGATGCTAAATAAACACAGGGACCATTTTCCTTTAAAGGAACAATAAAGTATCAGAATAGCCATTAAATTCTAGGACACAGTGATTTTATCATTAACAGACACTCACAAAAATCAAGGTGAAACTCCTAATTAATAGGAGCAAATGTTAGGATAATTAAATAATATAGCTAGTAGTACTACTAGACGAACCAGTTTTACTACACATAAAAGTCTTCCTTTTCAACACACTGGCAACACATCAAAATCAGAAAGCCTCCACCTTTAATTAGCCCACATCAATTTCCATTCAGATAAAGCTACTGGTTACCAGTGGGTATCTGCTTACTGTCCCAAAGGAAATTGTTCTTCAGGCCTGACAATGGGATTCTATTAATTCTTGCTGAAGCGATCAGATTTTATTTTCCCAATAAAAGGTTAAAATAAAGTTAATTCACTCTCAGAAAGCTTTAGGTTTCAAAGGGACCTTAAAGTTCATCTCCAATGTGTATTTTTATTCTTAAAACAAAACAAAAAGACTGGTAATGGAAGTCTGGTTTACCTTTAGTCCTTGCCAGGGCAGGCTGGTTCTATTAAAATACATCAAAACATATCCTAATGATTCCATGTCATCTCGGCGACTAGAAAAGAAAATGTAAATTTACGAGCTGGAATTATTATGGAAAGCATCTGGAAAAAAAAAGCCAGGTACACAAGTAGTTTTCCCAAGCGAAGAGAAAGAGCAATTTGGTGGCTTGTGAAAGAAGGTACTTAAAGTAGTAAGAAAGTTCGTAACGAGTTACTTCTAAACCAAATTTTCTCACAGAATACAAAATTATAAAATCCAACACAGTCCTGCAATTTAATTTCTAAAGAGCAAAAAGGATTTAGCGAGACAACTTTCTAAATGAGGTTAATGAAGAACATAGAACAAAGTACAAAGTAGCAGGACACTTTTAAGTTTTGCAGAAGCTCCTAAAAACTAACTTGAGGGATGCTGAAATAAATTAGCATTTCATTTTTTTTAAGTGTGTTTATTTTTGAGACAGAGAGAGAGAGAGAGAGAGAGCGAGAACACAGCAGAGTAGGGGCAAAGAAAGAGGGAATCCCAAACAGGTTCCTTGCGCACCAACAGCGTGGTGATGGGGCTCAAACTTATGAACCATGAGATCATGACCGGGGCCAAAATCAAGAGTCAGATGCTTAAGTGACTGAGCCACCCAAGCTCCCCAATTAACATTTTAAAGCCAATTAATGATGCATGTGAATATATATACACATACACACTGAACATTTCCTAAGCTTAAGATCCTTCTCTTGAGGTTCCCGAACCTAGAAGCATATCATTTATCATTTCTATGCTTGTTTTAAGGAATAAAAATTGATCGATAAAAGAGGAAGGGAAGATGAAAGACCAGAAAAAAATAGAAGATAGAAGAAATAGAAAAAGCACCGAGATCATGACAATGTTTACTTCAAATCAGATCCTATTAATTTATGTAGGAGTGAAGAGCAGAACATGAGATGGCCCACCAACCCCCTCTTAGTTCATTAGGACTCACGTAACATTTTCCTTGTAAAACTAAATAACTAAAACATTATTTTCCAAACTCAACTTGCATCACTAAAATATAAAAATTCAAGATCAGCGTGAAGAAAATAAGTACTACTGTCTTCAGTTGCAAGTAAACAAACAAACATCAAGATAAAATTACATTTATGCTTCTAATTTTCCATCACGGAGTATTTTCTCCCCAAGAGACAACCTTCAACAAAGAAACAAAAGGTCTCTCGTTTAACTGGCATCACAGCACTGACTAAAGCTCAACAGGTAAAAGAATTAATAAGCGTCCTTCAAATCTTCAGCCAAGAGACATCTTTAGGCATCATAAGAAACTAGTTAAAATATTTCCAAAACCCATTGGTGGCTTTTGCTATGGATCTGAGAAACACATTCATTTTTCAAACTTACCTCTGTTCAATACCGAGATGTGCATTGATGCTAGCATATCGGGCGGTGCCAGTGAGATTTTTATCTTCTCTGTATGGTATGTGTTGCCTTGTCCTGTTGTCTCTGTACTTTTTGGCCAAACCAAAATCAATAAGGAATAACTTTAAAAGAAAATAAAGGGATATTAGGTTTCCAACCTTGCTCAGTTGAACTGCTGCTTACTCATTCAACAGCATCTATTCTATCTTGTTCAACTATATCAAAATAAAGTATCGTAAGCGAAACAGATAATGAACAAACTTAACATTCCATTAAGTTTTTACTAGTTCTCATCAATAAATCAAGTTAAAGCAAATACAGTTAAATGGTTGATCCTTGTCAGCTGAACCAACTTCACAGGCCCAGTTTATTACACACTCGGGAGCCTGTCTTTAGAAAAGTAGTGAAGAAATATATACATGCTTCATAGCAGAGTTGAAAAGCGTGCTGTGTGCCATAATGAAACCTGACATCCTGTTACTGTTGGTAAACAAGCATGAGGTTTCAAAAACTGAACGTAAGCTATCTGGAATTCTTCCATTTTGCAAAGGCTATTCTTCCTTCAGTATAGCAACAGAATGTTCATTATCTAAAATAAGACAACTTGGAAAAGTTTGATATTGACACAAAACCAAGATTTTTATTAACAAAAAAAATAAGCATTTTTAAAACAAGCATGCATTACATTCACTGCTTCCCACTGATATTTATCCATTCATCAGGTTAAACTTCTGGGAAATATAAATATGGATCTAAAATCTTAAAAAAAGCACTTAGTATCTATTTACACCAAGATAACTTACAATTAGCAGTTTAAAGGAGCTAACTAAAAACAAGACTAGTATTTTAGAACAAAATAATGTGTAGTGCTATCATGTTTATATGGGACACACGGGAGTAAGATCTGTTTCTAATGTAGCTAATTTTTGAAGGAAAAAAAACCGCTATTTTTGACAAAAAAGAAAAAAAAATCCAGTATTTATTTACGTACCTTCTAAAGCAAAATAAATAATCTTTATTTCAAATTTTAGTCTTTATCATAAATTCTATTAAAGTTATGTCTACAAAGATTATCCAACAGGCAGGTCTAGGTGCCCTTTTAGTACCTAGCCCTAGACCTTTTTTTCCCTAGTTGTGCCTACGTTTTCTAGTTTTTCTTTCCATTAGGCAGACTTTGGGTCCCTTCTGTCCAGTTTATAATCTATGATATCCTAAGAAACCCATCACCTAGCCTCTTAGGGTGTGTGTAAGAATAAAGTAATTGAGGGGGGCCTGCGTGGCTCAGTTGGTTAAACATCTCACTTCAGCTCAGGTCATGATCTCATGGTTTGTGAGCTGGAGCCCCACGTTGGGCTCTGGGTTGACAGCTCAGAGCCTGGAGCCTGCTTCAGATTAGATTCTGTCTCCCTCTCTCTTTGCCCCTCTCCCACTCATGCTCTGTCTCTCTCTCTCAAAAATAAATAAACATTAAAAAAAATTTAAAACAAACAAAAAATAAAGTGATTGATTTGGGTGAAAAAAAAATCTGATCAAGTGCCTCTCTTAGGAGGGTAAAAAACACTTCTATGGAAGGGCACCTGGCTGGCTCAGTCGGTGGAGCATGCAACTTGTAACCTTGGGGTTTTGAGTTCGAGTCCCACGTTGGGGGTAGATATTACTTTAAGAAAAATCTTTAAAAAAAAAAAAAAGGCAGGCCTTTTTTATACACTGGATGGGAAAAGACATTGAGGTTTGAGCTTACTGTCACCAAGGTAACAAGGACATACCTATTTTCCCCTGGTCTACTATGAAAGAATGAAGAGCAAATTTTTAGTAAAATTTAACTGGATAATGAGACCTATCTAGTAAGATTAAATTCACTTCCTCGGCAATTGCATTATTATACGACCAAGAGAAAGTCTTAGAACACACAAAGAGAAATAAAGCTCACACTCCTACTTTTCCCTTGATATGAAAATGGGTTCAGTACACAAATATTAAAATAAGCAAAATACATTTCTGTTAAGCAAACCAAAAAGCATGACTTAAGTTCTGCAGATTCACACTGAAAAGAAAACAAGGCAAAAACAAACACAAAAAGACATCCAGCTCCACAGTATTTTTTTAAATGCCCGTAAGAATTACGTGAGTTTTAAACAAAAGGCAATTAAGACAAAGACTCTCCTCTAAAGGACATTTCCTGGGATTGCTTCTTTTAGTACTTCAAAATGGAGGAGAAAATAAGAATAACACTGACAAATTAGATCTGATAGTGTCCTTCATGTCCAAGTCTACATTCAGTTGCTCCATTTGCAACTCAATGACCAGACATTTTCTCACTTTTTAAAAGATTGTTCCATGAAAGCTCAATGTTCTCTAGTGTTCTTTGTTTCCACAATGCTAAAGGATGAAATGTAGTTTTAGAAAACAAAAAATAAATACAAACACTGTCTTCTCAAATATTTCAATCTTTAATATCAAAACAAAAAACTACAAAGGAAATAAAACAACTTAAAATTTCTCCTCTTATAAAAACTGAAAGTAAGTCAGGAAAAATAATTTCACTGCTAAGCAAAGGTGAAAATAAGAACAAATAACTGAAAAAGAAAGCTACTTAACATAAAAAAATTTTTTTAATCTCTTGTTAGTTCATGATCTTCTGGTACCTATCAAGCTTCTTTAGTAGTTCTCTGCTTTGAATTTAAAAATGAATATACACAAAATGGAAGTGTTTACATGACACCATGTTTCCAAGGATACAACCAAACAGCCGCAAATATGTAAAGGGAGAACCAAACAAGGAAAAGTCAATGTTCAGTAAGTCATAAGATAATATATTTTTATACATTTGCATATGCAAAAGAAGTCTAATTTCTCTGGTGGGTCAAGCTGCTTTTCTGTGAATTTTTATTCTGTGTTCTAAGTAAAATCTGTGCCTTTTTAAAGAATGCAGTCTATTCTTCAAAGGCATGTGGGAGTGAATTAATGTTGGGCATAGTGGGATAACTTCATTCAGCAGAGGTGCATTTTATTTTAGCAGAGGTGTTTTTAGAAACACTATCGATAATTTTAGTTTTTAGCTTAATCTGGCAATTTTTCACCTAATGAGGGTCACATTTCCTTGCCCTTTCAAAACATTCACAGGATCACTTTTCCTCACAACCCAGCTAATCTGTATGTAGAAAATATAATCGATTCAATGTCATTTTATGGAAGTTACTAAATGATTATGTTACAAAATAGAAGTTGTGTGAATGAATGGATAAGCAAAAATGGGGAACTAGATGCTTTACAAAGTGCCTAATTACCCACCATCCTCTCTCTCTCCCCACCTCAGATCTAGTCACAACAATTACTATTTCTCCGTGAATAAAAATAAGTTTGAGTTTCAGAAACCAGTAACAGCAGAAGATGATCCCTGGAATAATGCTGGGCAGTACAGAAAAGGATTAAATGATTACTCAGATGATGCATGTGGTACAAAGTATGGAACATACTTTGAAACTATACCAAATTCAACTTCTCTTTTTTGATTACTCTTGCTAATACTTCCTTCTCAGTGTATACTAAATTGAATGATTAACATTCACTTCTTTGCTCAAGAGCTTAACAAAGTTGGCCAACTTCTATGAAAAAAAGTGGAGACTTCCACTTACATAAAAAAATTTTTTTAAGAAAAGTACTGGGGTGTTTATTACTTAGCCTGCCAAACACTAAATCATCAGGTTATGCATTAATTTATCTTGCATGTTATTAATGGTAATTGTTTGCTAAGTGCTTCAATTATGTTACTGTTACATTGTTAGACTGCAATGTCTCCTAGTTCCAGAGCACATGATGCTCTTTGAGCATTTTATACCGTTTGGCTGAAGTCGGAGAATTCACATATTGAGGTAAAATCAATTCTAGACACACTAGATCTGAAATCTGGTCTACACTTACCTGAAGTTCACTAGGGAAGGGGAAGAGAATTGAGGCAGAATATATTCATCATACAGCACTGATGCAACTGAATTTAGATATATTTCATGCATTAAAAGTTCTGCAACTCCAAATACATTCTTAAAAACTAAAGTCTAGCTCAAGTTTACCATTAGATAAAGAATTTCAATACTAGACCAACATATCATTTCCTCATGTGATGTTACAGATCTAAACATAATCCTGTTTTCATTTAGGTTTTCTCTACACTTTACAAGCTTTAAGCAAAAGCCACAAAAAAACATCTTAGTAATGTTATATGTTTGCCAAGTATGTCTGAATAATGCCAACGTAAGAGATGCTTGAGCAAGATCTACATTCTCCAGAATTAAAACAAAACAAAAATAATCAAAAGAAAACAATAAAAAAGAAAAGCACATGAATTTGGGATTGAGGTTGGAATAGGAGACAGTTTCAGACCTGGTTTAATCCTGAGAAAGATGGGTCCTGAGAAGTACTAACAGTCATGCTTCTTTTCCTCTTCCCCACTGGAGATTCTAAACACTAAACAGACAATAGAGGGTGGCAGTGCATCAAACAGTATTGCTTACATTGCAACAATGGCCGGCGCAGACAGGCAACACCGAGGCATTAGAGAAAGAACAGGGTAGCCAAATGCCATCCTTCTTCCACCAAGCACTGTAGCTTCTCAGTTTTCCAAATAAGAATCACATGCTCGAGAACATTTGAATTCTGGAAAATACTCAAGTTTTTAATGCCACTATATTGTGTCACTGCCTGAATCAGGGATAGCAATGGTGACATTTGGCTCTTTAATATTTTCATCAAAAATGGGGAATTTGGCTCTGCAATATTTGGTACCACAATCTGCCCTTCCCCCAAAAAAGATTGTACAGGGGAAAAAAATCTTCAGTAAGGAAGAGGTAGAAGGCATTTAGTCACCTCAAAATTGGTTTTCATAAGCATGCAGGGCTGATTACTGGAAGAGATGAATAAATTCACTAAGATCGGAGTGGTCACTCCTAAATATCAAATTCAGAACAATTTTCCAAGTAAGAAATTTGACTTAAAAAAAAAAAAAATCAACCTCAAAAGCCCCCCATTTGTTCCCACGAATAGAAAACTACTAGAACAAACTAACCAAAGACTCCAGTCTCATAAAACTGGCATGTTTTTCAAACTACAATACAGAAAGAAAACACTAAAAACCAACTACAGAAACAAAACACTAATCTAAAATGTTCAAGAACAACATTTAGAATTTGAATCTTAGTTAAGTGAAACACTGCACTTCTACCCTAGGGACTCTCTGAATCTATTTACAGCAAGCAGCTCCACAATATTTTTTAGTATCTCTAAAGAGGACACAAGAGCCTAAAAAGGTTTTCATCATGGGGCAAACTGGACATCCTAACACAACTATGTAATTAACAAAGCTATTTTTAAAAGGGGGGCAGGGAGCAAAGAGTTATTATCTAGGTCATCATTTAATTTTAAGACAAAAACCATGTACTGCAATGTCAACATGCAGAACACAGATCACATGAGGATAGTGGGTCTTTATCAGGAAGAAAATAGGGAACGGGGGGGCTGGGAAATGGCCAAAGATCAGGGTCAAACTAACAGAAATGCCCCCAAAATTAAGACCAGTAAAATTTTTTTCAATTAAACCACCAGGTTTTACAATAACAATTAAGAACCTGGATGCTTCAGAGAGAGAAGCTACATAATATTTAAAAATAAACAAAGATGCAATTTGGGAATGGCAAGGTAAGTTATATGTAGATATACACACCTTTCATTATTTAAAGGTTAGCTTACAAAAAAATTTAAATTCCTAAAACTTGGTCAGACCAACATCAATGTCTCACGCATTAGCAAATAACACCAGTTCTAATGGTAATGGCTACAAGTTGGCATTCATACAGGCAAACAAAGGTAAACATTTATAGCCAGACCTAAAAAACACCAAACACTTCCTAATGACTTAATAAAACAAATGGGAATCTTCCTTCCAAAAACAAAACAAAAAACCCCACAAAAACCAAAAAGCCCCATGTTGTCCTGAAGTTGAGAATTTCTATCAGATCATCAGATCATAACATGCTTAGTGCATTGCCAATGCTGCCTGTCTGCCCGAGCTCAACATTGAATCGATAAATAAAGCAATTCACTCAATAAAACTAATCATTGCAGAAAAATTTCAACACAATTAGTTTCTAACTGCAATCATGCGTCACTAGCTCAAACCCAATCACCCCATACGTTCAACCATTCTGAGACCCCAATGAATACTAATTTTGTTGTATGAACATTCATTTCACTTGACTATATTTTCCTTTAAAAGGGGGAGAAGGGGTAGAGAATCCACCCAACTTGGCACCCAAGTAAGAAACTGTCAACTACTTTTGAAGCAGGCCCAAGAGTTAACCTTTTGAATACACAAATCCAAGGACTGAAGAATTCTCATTATGATCATGCTCAGTCAGCAAATGTTAACGCCATGGTGACAGATGGGTCAGTGGTCCCCACGCTGGCACAAGCACATATATTGCAAAAACCCACGCTTCAGTGACAAAGGTTAAAATCTGATTTTAGCATTCAGGAAAAAATGTATATGGGGTTTTTTTACTATTTCAACGAATGAAAAATAGATACAACTTTTGAATAGTTAAATAACAGATGATTACATTTCATTAGAAAGCCCTTGGGAATTTTATATTTCCATACAGATAATTAACCTGGGTTGGGTAAGTTGGAAGAAAATTTATTTCAAGTTACTAAGTTAATAAGAGTTAGCTGATTATCCTTTAGCACAATCTTTTAAAGCAATCATCAACAGCAAATACAATTTCCTATGACTTTTTAAAGATTCAAAGTTTACCAAAGCAATTCTTGGAGTTTTTACTCTTTGCTCTTTCATGCAGAGAACATTTGACTAACCTTATTACAGTGACGCCCAATACCCATTAGGAAGTTATCTGGTTTAATGTCTCTGTGTATAAAATTCTTTGTATGCACATATTCAATTCTACTGATCATCTGGAAAAAAGGAGGGGGGGGGAGAGATAATCATGTGATTTGAATTGTGAAAAAAGAAAGCAACACATTATTTCTCAATTATTTCAGTATCTCAATTATTTTTCAAGATCCCAGGTATTAAATTCACAAAAACAGTGCTAGACAAAATTAAATGTAAAGGGTAACCAGGCTCCCCATTTATCTCTAGACTGATGAATATCTAAGCATAAACCCACCCCATTCTTTGGCATGTTCTAGTATTAATGATTATAAATATGACAATCATCTAACCTGACAGAAAGAACTGATGTTTGCAATTTTTAAATTATAAAATAGTAAGTTTAGAATTGTTTCAGTTAGGAAAAGCTAAATCATCAACTTTCCACCCCAATTCTATGCCACCTGAGGTAACCTGTGTTAGAATAGCCTGGCATTATCCATTTCTGTGCTCTTACATACATACATTCACGAACTCAAGACACACATATAATTGGGAACAGAAGGTGTTGACCAACTGAAAGATAGAAGTTGCTACTGTTTTAAATTGGAGTGGAAGCATCCTGCTCATTTTATTCTTGTTGGCTTGTTTTTAACTAAACAACCCAAACATTCCCAGAAGTCAGTAGCATATACAACATAAACATAACACATGGGGACATATACATGCTGGGTTTTACTTCTTGGATGCTTTTTGAACTCTCCCATGGTTTTTCTCCACACTTCAGTAATAACATTCAAATCACATTCAAAAACTGAATAGGAAGCCTGTCATTCCAACAACCTCTTCTTAATTGCTTGGACATTCTGCCAAGTTGAATGGTATAGGTCTTTGGCATTAGGTTCTCCCCGATCATCCCAACTTAAATTATTTCCATTGTTCCCAGTATCTTCCCACTGTAAACAATAATGCTATTAATATATTTAAATATATCCTTATCTGGGCATCTGGGTGCCTCCGTCAGTTAAGCACCCGACTTCGGCTCAGGTCATGATCTCATGGTTTTTGAGTAGGAGCCCTGCATCGGGGTCACTGCTGTCAGCATGCAGAGCCTGCTTTGGACCCTCTGTCCCCGTCTCTCCCTGCCCCTCCTCTGCTCATTCTCTCTCTCAAACCAATTGATTAAACCAATTGATTTAAACCAATCAATCAATTCTTATCTACTGGTGCTTTTATTCCTATGGACTATAAACCCCATACAATTAATTGTAGGGAGAGTCGGTTGAAGCAGCTATCATTTTGATAGGTGGCATCAGAATGTCTTTCAACACAGGCTCTAACAATTCATTTCCCAGCAGTACTTAAGAATATTCTTCTTCCCACTGGCAAACTTTAATTCTTTCTAAATTCTGTCAATGGCAGGTATTGACCTCACTTCTACTTCCCTGACACTTGGTTTAAAAGTCTTCTCATTTACTATCTTATGAACTATCAATCTATACTCTGTCCATTATTTTTTTGGCTTGTCCTAGTCTTGTCGATTTTAAGAATTCTTTGCACATAACAATCTTTTTATTTACGTTTGTTATGTAAATACATTTTAATTTTAAAAAACTGTCTTGTAACTTTATGGCATCACTTTTAATCCCTTCTGTGTTTTAACTTTCAAATTATCAAATATGTCTAAGTGTCTATAAGACACTTAGAAGCATCTGAAAATGTTTTCAATATCCAAAGACTATTACCTTTCTACCCATATGTTCTTGCTCTTCTCAGTAGTATGTGTCAGGATTCTATTTTTTATTTGTCCCCATTTTCCCTAGAGCTTTTATTACCATACAGATTGTGAACCTTGACAAGTGTCTCTTGAAGCCAAATTTGTAATCTCTAGCTTAAACTATTTGTACTCAAGGAAGTAGCTGTATACAATGTCCAAACAGTACTTTTAGTTATAGCAGCAACTTGTACTTTATTAACGGAACTAAAACAAAACATTCAGCCCACTTAATGTACTTATTTGTCCTAACTAAGTGATACCCATCATTAAATCAGGATTATTAACTTGTTGGGAAAAGGTTCGGCAAAGATAATAAATGGCACCAACTACTTACCTTCAAGTGTTATTAATGTATCATATACACAGCAAGACTTAGCAGTTACCTCCTTAAACCACTGCTTTCTCGCGACACCCTTCCTTGAACTACTTTTTTTCTATGTTAACAGTGTACCCCATATAGACTTCTATCACAGAAATCTTGAACATCGTATTTTTTCTGTTTCTCTAACTTCTACACTCCTAGAAGAAAGGGACTAGATAGAGTTCTTATTCTTCTTTGCACCCTCCAGTGCTAAGTAAAGCAGCAGCCTCGAATAAATGTTCTCTGTATGAATACCTCTGTGTTACTGAACCTACAACATATAAACTCTTTTACTAGGATTCACTCATGTTACTTAAAACATAGAAGGATTTTTACCTTTCAATGTTTGAATTCTTATCGTACCACAAATAAAACAATGTAATTTGCTAATATTGGTTGAGCCCCTCAGTTTTTATGTTAACCTTACTGGAAATGTCGATGCTGATTACAGAGACTGAACACTATTTTCTAATCCTTTGGTTTTATACTCTTACCATCTCATTTTACTTCAACATCCAATCTAAATTTTAAAAATATTCTCTTCCACAGCACTGAGTTTAACCGGAAACATTTCCATCATTTTCCTGCCCTTGTTTCTTGACCAAAATTTAAAATCATAAATTCCTTGGGGCGCCTGGGTGGCTCAGTCGGTTGAGCGTCCAACTCTTGATTTCGGCTCAGACCATGATCTTACGGTTCTGTTGAGACTGAGCCCCATGTCGGGCTTTCCCCTGACAGCCTGAAGCCTGCTTTTGGATTCTCTCCCTCTCCCCGCCCCACCCCACCCCTCCTCTACTTACATGTGTACACGCGCTCTCTCTCTCAAAAAGATAAACTTAAAAAAATACTTAAAATTACAAATTCCTTGACATTTACCTATCATCTTTAACCATATTATCCACTACCTGAAGGCTTGTTCCTGATATCATTCCCCCATCTTAAAACTCTTTAAAATCATTTTTCTTATTTTGTTAAGACAAAAAAATAGAAGTTCTGGCTTTATATGTATTATATATATATTACACATACATACTATATATACAATATGTGATATATATAATATATATATGCATATATATATATTATATATATATATATTTTTAACAAAGTTTATGTATTTTGAGAGAAGAGAGAACCAGAGTGGAGGGGCAAACAGAGTGGGAGACAAAGGATCCAAAGCGGGCTCTGTGCTGACAGCAGAGAGCCCATTTGGGGGCTCAAACTCCCAGACCATGAGATCATTCATGACCTGAGCTGAAGTCGGATGCTTAATCTACTGAGCTACCCAGGCACCCTGGCTTTAAAACAATTTAACCTTCAGCCAGTGCATGAATTTAATTCATGACATTTTCAAAATTTCCCCAGTTTTGCGTAAATACTTAAATACTAGCAATGGCTGAGAATTCATTACTTCAAGAAACATTTACTTGGTCAAAAATTCTTCCTTAAATTATTTCAGTACTGTTTTCCTCAAAACTATAGCTTTCAGGGGGCGCCTGGGTGGCTCAGTCGGTTAAGTGTCCAACTTCGGCTTAGGTCATGATCTCACAGGTTTGTGAACTCGAGCCCTTGTCAGCAGAGCCTGTTTCAGATCCTGTCCCCCCCTCTCTGTGTCCCTCCCCTGCTCATACTCACTCTCAAAAATAAACATTAAAAAAAAGTATTAAAAATTTAAAAAATATATATGTAGCTTTCCTAAGGGCCCCACACATAATGTACAACATCCAATTCACTTATCCAAAACTTCTACATATTTATATTTCCCTCCATATATACTGAGCCCTTTCAAAAATCTTATAAAGAAACCTGCTATATTCTACACTGAAACAGACTGCATCTGATGTAACAGCTTGAAAAGTACTTTTCTACAGGTGAAAAACAAACGAATATAATCCCATTTCTATCCTATGACCACAGGAAAACATCTTTAAGTTGTGTTAGAGAAAAGTACACTTGAGTGAGCACAACCTATATATACATACATACATATATATACATATACATATATATACACATATATATATACACACACACTTTTATATATACACATATATATATATATATATTTTGCTGAACATAAGATTGACACACAGGATTATACACACTCTGGTTTATGAAAATTTACATTACAGTTAAATAGTAGTATTCTCAATTTTTATTTTCATCCACATTTCACATACCTGGTCAGCTAACATAAGTACAGTTTTCATTGTGAACCTTCTTGAACAGAAATTGAAGAGGTCTTCGAGGCTGGGTCCGAGAAGATCCATGACTAGCACATTGTAGTCTTTTTCCTGACCATACCACCTAACAAAAGGGGAAAAGAGAGGGCTTTATGAAAAGCTGATTATCATTTAATATCACTAAATTTTCAAAATTCTTAAGCCCTAATAATAGGATAGTTTTTTACTTCTCCGGATGCCCGGGTGACTGATTATGGCTCAGGTCATGATCTTGCAGTTCATGGTTAGAGCCCCACATTGGGACTGCAGTGCAGAGCCTGCTTGGGTTTCTCTCTCTCCTTCTCTCTCTCTCTCTCTCTGCCCCTCCCCTTCATGTGCATGCTATCTCTCTCAAAAATAAGTAAACATTAAAAAAAAAAAAAAAAAAAGATGGCTTTACTTTTCTAGTTAGGTTCCCCAAAAAGTTAAAAATAGAAATGCCCTATGACCCAACAATTGCACAACTAGGTATTTACCCAAAGGACACAAAAATACTGATTCATGGGGGAAACACCTGCACCCCAATGTTTATAGCACCATTATCAACAATAGCCAAATTATGGAAAGAGCCCAAATGTCCACTGACTGATAAAGAAGATGTGTGTGTGTGTTATGTACATATACACACATGCACACTCTCTCTCACACACAATGGAATATTACTCGGCCATCAAAAAGAATGAAAGCTTGCCACTTGCAATGATGTGGACGGAGTTAGAGTGTACTGTGCTAATAATAAGCAAATGACTCAGAGAAAGACAAGTATGATTTCATTCATATGCAGAATTTAAGAAATAAAACAGATGAACATGGGGGAAGGGGGCAAAGAGGGGAGAGGGGAAGACAAGCCATAAGAAACCCTTAACTACAGATAACTGAGGTTGGATGGGATAAACGGATGATGGGTATTAATGGAGGTCACTTGTAATGAGCACTGGGTATTACATGTAAGTGATGAATCATTAAATTCTACTCCTGAAACCAGTATTATACTATATGTTAACTGAGATTTAATAAAAACTTTGGGAAAAAAAGAATTTGCAGGTAACCTTAACCATTTGAATTCTATACCTATCTGCCACTGATTCCTATGACCTTTAGCAAATTCCTTAATCTCATCTGATACTACTGCCTATTTGAAGAAATGAAGGAAACTATACTGGTCTTACAAAGCAAAGATCTCTTTTATTTTAGAACTCCTGTCCCATTTACTACCATGTTGTATTTAATCAATAATTACTTGCTCTTTTTTTAAAAAAGTAGTCACATTTTTGCTTAATTACAGAAAATAACCAGTATTACAACAAAGATGACATTTGCTTTTAATTGGAGCCCTGTTTTAATTATCCAATGCTTTATTACTGTGGATAAATATACAATTTGTCTCCAAAAACTCCAGGAATATCTACTTTTAATTTTAGAGATTCCAAGGGCTAGGAATCACTATAATAAATGATTTCAAGTTCCTATATGCCTGTATTTCTGGTAAGGGTACCTTCCTAAAAATAAGCACTACCATTTAAATTTTAAACTTCTCTAGATTATTAATTCTGCTTGAAAAGAAAATTGGCCAGTATAAAAGAAAATTTTTTAAGAACAAGTTATTTTACAACCTCACTGGAATAATTTCTTTGTTAACTCCAATAAAAACTCATACCACACAGATTAGGAGCCCGGAACAGTCTACTACTTATCTAAAAGCTACTTACTCAGTTCCTACCGTCACCTCCATGTTTCCCACTTCTATCTTTTTTTAATGTTTATTTATTTTTGAAAGAAAGAGAGGTGGGGGGGGGGGGGTAGGGGCAGAGAAAGAATCCAAGCAGGCTCCATGCTGTCAGCACAAAGCTTGATGCTGAGCTCAAACTCACGAACCGAACCGAACCATGAGATCATGACCTGAATGGAAGTCGGGACGCTTAACCAACTGAGCCACCCAGGCGCCCCTCCACTTCTATTCTAAACTAGCTTCTAACTCTCTACTTTCAATTTCAAAATCTTAATACCCAGATACCAAAGAAGTCTTCCTTAAGTAGTCTGTTCCACACTGGTCTCCTATTTCACAGAATTCCCATAGCTACTGGGATACTACTTACATCCACAATCAAACCCTTCGACGATACAATATCCTGGTGCCTTTTTTATGTGAGTATAACATACGTTGCTAGTAAGTACACTATGATAAAGTGATGTACACAAAACAACGTAGGTACTCAAATACCTATTAGATTAAAAAAAAGAACTGATTTGATTTGGACCTTATTCTTACTAAGTTTCAAAACATGAAAAAAAAAAAAACACCAAGCAATATAATAGATGAAAAGTTAAAAAAAAAAAAAGTGCAGGAGTCTCATTTTCCATTTGTTTCAAATCAATGCCTTCAGACTCAGTGTTGCCTGAACAATCAATGAAGTAGACTGAAGGTATATAACCATTTAGAACACAAAAAAAATCTACCTTAAGGTCTGAAGAAGATGCTTAGAGAAGGCAAAGTCCACCTCTTTGCTCTCATGTCCCTTCCTCCAAAACCAATATCTAAACTAAACCTAGTTAAAAAATTAAGACAATAAAAAGCAGAAATGTAAGAAAATACATGCACAAGTCACTGAGGCTGACAAAAAAAAAAAATGCCTAAATAATTCAGAAAACCAAAAGATCAATAAGAATTCAATCCTTCCAAAGAAATCTTGTGAAATAGTCTGTTACCAGTTAGATCCTGACAAAGGGATAATATTTTGTGTTTTTTTTTGTTTTTTTTTGTTTTTTTTTAAACATTTTTTTTTATTTTTTTTTCAACGTTTATTTATTTGTGGGACAGAGAGAGACAGAGCATGAACGGGGGAGGAGCAGAGAGAGAGGGAGACACAGAATCGGAAACAGGCTCCAGGCTCTGAGCCATCAGCCCAGAGCCTGACGCGGGGCTCGAACCCACGGACCGCGAGATCGTGACCTGGCTGAAGTCGGACGCTTAACCGACTGCGCCACCCAGGCGCCCCAAAGGGATAATATTTTGATAGGGAAGGTAGAAAAGGGCATCCTAGGCATGGGCAAGAAGAGAGACAAGGACATGGCGACCAGTTAGAAGTGTTATAGTTGGAGGGTTGAAGCTAGGGTTTTCTTTTCTCTGAGAAATCTCTTTATGAAAATAAAAAAACCCTTAGAAAATAAAATGACGAACATTTTTTTTAAGTTTATTTAGAGAGAGAGGAAGAGAGGAAGAGAGGGAGAGAGGGAGAGAGACAGAGAGAGAGAGAAAGACAATCCTAAGCAGGCTCTGCACTGTCAGCATGGAACCTGACATGGGGCTCAAACCCACTCGAACCATGAGATCATTACCTGAGCCAAAGTCAAGAGTCTGACGCTTTAACCAACTGAGCCACCCAGGCGCCCCATGAAATAGGTATTGCTACAATACCTAAGGACTTCCAAGCACTATAAATCAGTATAACTATCATAAGTATTCAGTTCAGCTTAAAGCAACCAAATACGTTCTATCTCTACGCCTAGGATAGTTAATAACAGAAAACTTGTTTCATGTAGGTCTTCCCCTTTAGACTATTAGTTTGGTGTGATGGTTAATCTTATGCATCAAATTGACTGGACTAAGGGATGCTGGGATAGCTGGTAAAACATTATTTTGGGGTGTCTGTGAGGGTGTCTCCAGAGATTAGCATATGAATCAAGATTAGCATTTGAATAATAGAATAAGTAGAGATCACCTTTCCTAAAGTGGAAGGCTTGAATAAAAAAGGGAATAGAACTAAGGCAGAGGAAGGGAAAATTCACTCTGTCAGAGCTGGGACTTCTACCCTTGGATGTCCATGCCTCTGGTTCTTGGGCCTTTAGGCTTGGGACCAAACTACACCGCTGGTTTTCCTGGGCCTCCCAGCTTGCACACCGCAAACTATGGTACTTCTTTGCTTCCACAGGTGTGAGCCAATGCCTCATAATAAATATTTCTGTATATCTATATATAATCCAGTGGTTCTCTTTTCTGGAGAATCCAGACTAATACAACATGGGCAGCCACTGTATTTGTCCTGTTCAGAACTCTACATTTCCAGTATCCAGCACAATGCCTTGCCAGCAGGGAATGCTCAGTAACATTTGCTGAACTAAAGAATGAAAAGCCGTATTACAGGCTCTAACAGGCTAAGGAGTGCTTGATGTGGCAGATGAGGAAAACAAAACAAGGAATACAAAAACACTCTGTACTGCAAGTATAAAATCATCAGGAAGACTCTACTCATCTTTGATTCAAATTAACCAAGTAATTACAAAAGTTTAAAAGTTACATTCAGGGCGCCTGGGTTGGCTCAGTCAGTTAAGCGTCCAACTCTTGATTCCAGCTCAGGTCATGAACTCAGTTTGGGAGTTCTAGCCCCATTTCAGCTGAGCGTGGAGCCTGCTTGGAATTCTCGCTCTCAGGCTTTCTTCGCCCCTCTTCTTCCCCCACTTGGAGGCAGGTCTCTGGCGCACACGTTCTCTCTCCCCACCCCACCCCAAAATAAATAGGGGCCCTGGTGTGGCTCAGTTAAGTTTCCGACTCTTGGTTTCGACCCAGGTCATGATCTCATGGTTCAGGAGTTCAAGCCCCGTGTCGGGCTCCACACTAAGAATGTTGAAACCTGCATCTCTCTCCCCTTCTCTCCAGCTCTCGCTCTCTATCCCTCTCTCTCTCAAAATAAATAAACTTAAAAAATAAAAATTAAAAAAAATATATATATATATACACACATAAATAGATATTTAAAGGTGATATTCTTAACCGGTACAGGTCTGTTCCTGTGCCTTTTACCTTCCCATCTTCAGGTCAATAATCTCAAGGTCTCAAAGTCTTTACTGAACACTAAAAAGTATGAGTGTCGAATCAGTGCTGTAAGATAGCATCTCCAGTCTCAAGATATGGTCTATCAAACTTATTTTCTTGCCAACTTACCATCATCCAATCTTTATGTTCCTTTTTGTGAGGGTAGAAAGTAAGATCTAATCTACGGATGGTATACCTGGGTGCTTGCTCAGTTGGTTAAGCATCCGACTTTGGCTCAGGTCATATTTCACGGTTCATGGGTTCCAGCCCCGCAT